ATCAACATTTTAGTCCAAATTTAACTCTTATAATTAAAAAAAAAAAAAAAAAATTCAATCCCTATAATTTCATTTTCTTAAATCTTCTAAAACATTCTTTATACCACTCAAAGTGGATAGTTCATTTGAAAAAATAAATAGCAAAAACTAAATTGAAAATTTTTAAATCCTAATTTTTATTTTTTAATTTTCAATTTTTTTAGGGAGATCTTTAAAAAAATCTTATTCACTTGCTATATTCAAATTGACTAATGCCAAATACATTCGATACTTTAGTATTTATAATAATAGCCAATTTGATGACGATAATATAATGATACCAACAACTTGTTTTATTTCAACAAAGAATTTCTAGATTCAAAGTTTTCCTTGTAACTAAAAAAATTTGATATCTTATTTTGAATTTTCTAATGTAAAACAGGAGAGGCAGTGAAATTGAAGGAAGAAAAGCAAGCCAAGAAAGAAGAGGCAGCTCCAAAGCTTGAAGAAACCAAGGTTTGCTAATTAATCATCTCTTCAAACTCTAATCTTTTATAACATTCATAAAAATTACTTGTAAATGTTAGATATCATTGGCCACATTAAGATCATTATTGGAAAAAAAAAAACCCAACAAATCTGAAAAGGAAAAACTTTATTTATAGAAAGGCACTGCTTCAAATTTTCTTAGAGACGGACAAAATTTTATAAATTTGGTGTTTTCTAAACGATATCTAAGGAAAAACTTTATTTATAGAAAGGCACTGCTTCAAATTTTCTTAGAGACGGACAAAATTTTATAAATTTGGTGTTTTCTAAACGATATCTAACATTGTGTTTGGAGATATAAGTTTACGATCTTTACAAGGATCACTCGAAGAAGTTCTATAAATTCTGTCCGACTTAACTTTATTGGGCCTTTTTATGCAGGAAAATGCAGCTGATTTGCCAGTGAAGAGTTCAACACCAGAGGAAAAGAAATAGGAATAGAGGACTATACACTTGAATACTAACTATTATGCCGATGAATGATTTTAAGGCCAAATCAAAAGATGGTTGGAAATATAGATAATATTATTTTATATAAATATATAAATCACTTATCCACTATATTTAATGTTGATCTTCATTTTTATTGTCTAAATAAGAGTTCCTAATCAATTAAGATGATGATTCAAATCGACTCAAATTGAGAGACTTTTAATTAATTAATTTTAATCTCTTTTAATATTTTTTTAATCAAAGTTTACTTGATGATGTGACTAAATTATAAAATAAAAAAAATGCAACTACTGTAATTTAAAACTGACCATATTATTCAGGTGAGAATGGAGAATGTGTTTACTGTTTTCATATTGATTGTGTACTTTGATTCATTCAAACTTGGCATTGGGTTAGTCCATGGTACATTTTCCATGTATCTATGGATTTGAAATCGACGTGAGAGGTAAATCGACATTTTTATCTTATGATAAAAAAATCAACAAAATCTAAAAAATATCAACAAAATGTCACTATTATATACCTAATATTTAATATTAATCATTTAAAACTTATTTAGAATTAGAAAAATATTTACCTATTAATTTAAATATTTTTTACGATTTTTCAGTTTCTTTATTTTTTACAATATTCATCAACATTTTATCGATATTTCCATGAAATTGAGAGCTCGATATTTCCATGGACATCAACATTTAAAACCTTGGTAGCCTTTTTGGATTCCTTTATTATTAAAAAATAATAATAATAACTAACTAACAAGTAACAACATCATCTACCGGGTGGAAAAAAAAAGTTAAATTATATCAAATGTCTCGGAACTTTGGGGTTGGTTTCAATTATACCTTAATATCGTTTTAAGAGTTTCAATTCTACCCTCAATCTTTAAAGTTGTTTTTAAAAATATCGTTCGGTAACCTATTTAGTTAAAAAAGAAACTAACATGTGATGCGGCAGTGAGTTGCAAAAAGTAAAGTCCATGGAGTCGTAAGTAGTTCCAATTATGTTCTTAAACTTTGAAATAGTTTCAATTATGCCTCTATTATTTCAAAATTTTTATTTCAACCTTGAATCTTTAAGATAGTTTCAACACCGTCATTCCACTCACTTCGACATTAAAAGGAAGACTGAAAATATATGTGATGTGTCTATGAATGGTAAAAATAAAAGTTACACATGGGCACAAATGTTGGTCGGACGAATCCTGAAAGATTATCTCAGTTCGGATTATTCTATGCAACTCGGAAACATGAAGTTGGAATCGGGCCTACCCGTCTGTCGCTAGGTCCGAGAATGGCGCAAGGCGAGGGCGCCGCATTCCAAATGGTGCCCATTTTGCCATTTGAGAGAAGCAGAGAAATCATGAACATGTACAAACAAAAAACCACATATTGATAAAGTTGAAGAAGTGTATATTTTAGAGAGAAATCTTTGTGAGATTAATACATTTTTGAGATAAAAATTGAGGATGAGTGAGGTTCGTGAAAAGTAATTCGTGTCCCTAAGTTTAACCCTTCATTATTTGCTTATCCCTTGAAAAATTTTATTTCCTCCCAAATCTTTGGATCATGAGCGGAAGAACAGTTGTTTCCACTCAAATGACAGTCATTTTCTTAATATGATTAGAATCTTTCCACTGCATCAAATTTTCGTCTTCATTTCAACGATTGTTAATAAAAAGAATTTGTTTAAAGCGAAGGATTAAAATGAGACTTTTTGAACTACAAGATATATATCATTTAAACTCAACTCAAAATTCCCGGGCATAATTAAAACCACATATGTACCGCTATATCACATTTCAATTTTTTTAATAGAAAAGATGACAAAATGATACTTTTGAAACATTTTTTTTGTAGATTAGAGGTAGATTCGAAAATTTTGAAATAATACAAAAAAATATTGTACTCCATACGTAAAACGAAAATACTTTTATTTTATTTTTTTGAAATAGAAAATACCTTTATTTAGAAAGAGATGATCCTAAATCATGTCTCCCTCCATAAAAACTCGTCTCTTTTATGGATTATTAATTTTCTTAAAAATTAACCTAGTCAGACAAATTTTTTCTGAAATTAGATTTTCAGAACAAGCAATTATTAGAATGAAAATTTTGCTCCATTTATTATCTAATATTTGGAGCGGGTTAATTGAAATATACTCCAATTAAGAGGTTGTGAGTTCGATTTCCCACTCTACATGTTATACTAAAAAAAATAAAAAAAATTTGGAGTCATTTTAATTTGTAATGAATTTCAAATCGATTTCCTTTTTCTCATCCTTTAAAATAAAATGATTCCAAATCCTACTTTCTCATTTAAAAAAAAAAATTATCTGTGCACAACACTAAAAAAAAAACAATGTTTCATTTACAATGATCATATCTTAATTTTAAGATTGAAAGAATTCCTTTCACATCTTTTCACGTTAATTTCAAACCAATGTTAAGCTTAAAGAGACTATCAGACTCAAAGATTGATTTCTAATAAAAAAAATAAAAAAAATCAAACCAATCGTCCAAAATAATCATTCGGCCGCTCAACTATTCCAACCGTAACCATTTATCACTCCGACCATCCACTTTTTTTTTATTTTTTTTATTTTAGGTACGCTCTAAAAGAAAAGTCAAGGAGTTGCTTGCATTCTAGAAGCGGTAGCTTCCCGCCTCTTCATTCCTATTGCCCCCTTCGACGAGAAGTTCCCTTCCTTTTTCAAAAATGTCAATGGGTCTGCCTCAGCAAAGGTACAAAATGGAGCTGCCCGCTGTTTGGCTGACCTCCCATGCAGGTTGACCCAAAAGTCAAGAAAGAAGGAATGGAATCATTGGAAAGTCGTCTTTGCCCAAGTGTGAACTGCGGACGACTGACTTTGGAAGCGAAACACGAACCTATTTCTGTTATCTTGAATGAAGTGTTTTCCTTCCTCCTATTATTAAGGTTATTTCAAATTTAACATGTATGGTTAGCACCTAAGTATTGTTCTGAATTAGGTAACTCATCTTTGTGCTAACCACCCATAGAAATTTGATAAAATTTTTATTTTCTTGAAAAACATAAAAATATCTAATTTTCTACCTTCTCTTCCTATTTGCAAGCAAAAAATAAGTGATGATCGGTAAGTACTTAAAAGTATTTTTCATTGTATAAGCATATAAAACGAACCTGGGGCTTTCAGACCCATGCCCGTCCCCATCCTGTAGATCCCTCGTACTAAAGACCACCGAAATCATTGAAAATTTCTGCCATTCCCTGCATTATAATTCAAAGCAAAAACAACAAATAATAATAATAATGCATGAACGCATTAATATTTCATTTATGTTGTTCTAATTTTCTTCTATCCATATATTATTTTAAAGACCAACCATTTTCAGTGTAACACATGATTCGATCAATCTATACGTTTTCCCATATGTACAAATAAACAACTTGGTTATTTACAAGGTTTCATAACGAATTACCAGCCAAAACGCCACAATGATTTACCAGTCATTACCCAATTTGTCTACAGCTATTCCGTCCTGAGACTCGAACGTCGTCTTCTTTAAGCTATCATGCTGATTCGCCATGGAGTACTGATTGTTGATTCAATATGAGAGCAGGAATTTCAGGATCCTTGGAGAAAACTCTGTTTCCTTTCAGATCAGTTGTTCCAAATGCCGCCAGAAGAGGATTCATTACAAATCTACATGATCTCCATGCTGGACTATTTAACTCGATACCGTAGTACACCAAATGATCTGAAACACTCTTGCCAGAGACAGACCTGCATCAATTTGGCAATATATTTTATTTTATGCAAGATTACTAAAACGAGATATATTGCGACTTGAAATTCATGTCTCACAAACAAATTCCAGAATCGAATGCATAGATGAGCAACATCTCTCATCACATCGGATCAACAAGGGAAGAGTTACCTGCTACAAGATGGGTCTTCACCAGAATCATCACAAACCTTTTCAACTCGATAAACCAAACTTCCGAATCCGATATCATAAAGCCACACCTGCAGATTATAGGAACTCTTGAGTTACCAAAAAGGCTCTAGTTTAGCGGAGAAATATGTAATGCTTCTGCTATTTGGGTCTAAAATGTGTACACAACTTCAAGGGTTACTGGAATTGGATATTGAACAAGTACAGTTTTGCAGAGCCTAAAGAAGCATATGAGTTCTTTTCTCCTAGACGATTGTAACAAAATATTTAGAGTCAGATTTCTGTGGAGATGGACAATGACGGTGCCACTTCTCTTCATCTTTAACCATTTAAAAATGTCTCTTGGAAATACATTTTTATTTTTACAACCTCGTTTAAGAGTTTAAAAGTCGGATACCTTGCTTCTATGTTATTTTATAACTCTCTTTTAAGATAGATTAATATGGTTGTGATTGCAAAAGAAAAGGAACTGCTAAAAGAGGAGTTTGCTTATTACGCAACTCAGGGCAGGCAAATGCTCCTATCAAGTCCACATTATCACACCTATGTAGCTCTGTATAGTTCAAAGTGTCAATGAAACATACCTCTCTTGGGAAGTGGTGATAAGTCTTTCTAGGTAAATAAGAATAAAACGGAGGCAAATGGGGAACGATATCATGTTCATGTGTAACTCGGAATGTATTTGGCACTATATTGCTATAGAAAGATGCAAATACTGAATTGCCGATACGAGGTTGTCCAAATGTCATAACCTGGACATTCTGGGCTTTGTAGTTAACCTGAAATGAGTAAAAAACCCTCAGCATCTTCATCTAATCGATTAAACAAGAGGATCTAAATTATGACCTAAAGTAAAAAATTCATATCATCCTAAGGTACCACAATATTAGAAACAAGAATGTTCAAGCACTGTCTGGGCAAGACTGCCAAAGAACAGACAAAGGACAAGGTGTCCCTTCTCCCAGAGACTTTTGGTCATCGTATCTTTCAGAAAAATCATGGCAACAATTATCACAGTTATCAAGCAAGCACGAATCTAACATCACTTACAGCAAGATCGAGCCCACAAAATGCTGCCATTGCCCCTCCCATTGAATGTCCAGTCACCATGATGTCAAGGTTCCCATAGAATTTCCTGGCTCTTTCAACAGCACGTAATATCCCAGGGCGTATTGTTGTATTGTGATAAGCATAATAAAACCCATGGTGCACCTGAGGTAACACGAGAACTGAAGTTATTGCTTCTCTCTCTGACTGCTCAAGCAATAAAAAAACATTAGTGTATAACCTCGACTTTTAGAAGAAATAACAGGATAAAGGATGTCTTCAAGGACTGAGGTCGATATCTTACTTGAGTATTGTTATTAAAAGAACTGAATTCTATTTAGTAAATCTATAAATTAATAAGCATCAAATAAAAACTAAAAAAAAAAAAACAGGATATAAATAGAAGGCTAATAAAAAAAACTAAAAATTGATGAAAAGCTGCACGGGAGGAAATTCTATAAACCAAGAACTCAACTTTTAAACTCCTCACAACTGCTAGTTAGTTACTCCTAATCATGAATTTTATATTTCTTTCTAAGTTCAAAATTTTTGAAGTTCAATTAGGTCCTCACACCTTTTTATAAGACTTCAAAGAGATTGCATGTCTTGCAACTATATTCTCTCTAATTTGTTGTGTTTTCAAACTCTAACCTAAGATCATCTCCCCAATACTCTAAGTGCTGGCTTAATCCTCCAATATGATATAAAAATAAAAATCGTGTAACAGTAAAATCTTGAGGATTTAACAAGCACTAGAAGTAACTTCACCAAACTAGAGAGAATAGAGTTGGAAGACCTACAATCTCTTCAAAGCCTTATAAACAGAACTAAAAACCTAATTAAGCTTCTAAAATATTCAATTTAGATAGGGATTAAATTCAGGAATAGGACTAACTTTACCTCTAGCATATTCTAAGAACAGATAACAGAGACTCGACACAATACACACCATTGCGTCTGGCATTCCAGGGTACATCAGGTCAAGCTGCTTCCAGTATAGGTCTTCAACCCAGTTCTGTATGCTGTATAAGTTTATGTATAGATCAGACTATCATCAAGCCCAAAATAAATATGGTTTTCTAAATCTATTCGAAGTCCACAGATGATATTGGTTATTAATTTCATTAAATAGAAAGCATGGACTAAGTTACATAAATCGTAATACCAGTGGCTTGGTTTCCATGTAAAGTTATTTATGGTTAATTAATAGTTTGCACGTTTAAAATGGAAATTCTATTATATACTTGCAAAGTATCATCATAAACCACAAATACAACATCTCTGTGGACCATGCTCGGCCATACATTCTTTAGCTAGGATTTTTTTCCCAATTAATCCATTTATTCAATTCATCTACTTTTCTCTAGCTGCAAAATGAAGAAGTCCGACATCGCCCACATGATAAAGCTATTTGTCCGACATTGAAGGCTAAATCAATTATTTCGATGAAATTTTGCAGAGTGATAAACCACTGTATCAATTACCTGTTTTCTTGAGTTCCTCTAAAAGCAATAACAACAGCATTAAGACTATTTGATACTCCAACATATGACTGCAGTAAATAAGAAATTGATGTCAAAACAGAGAATAATAAATTGCAACCAAACTTAATTGGTATATGCTCCCAGAACCACGATGAAATATACCTGTAAGCAGTGCTGGACATCAACAATCAGTTCTATAACTTCAAACCCCTGTCTCCATTGAAAATCAGCATCAGTGCCAACTATTTTGGCTAAAAGAAAACTAACAGTGTCAAATAGTTCAATACACATAGAACTTAAATATCAAAGATTTAAATTTCTAGCATTTGTTCACACCAAGTTGAAACCATTATATTCCCAAGTACCTTTGTCGGGCCATCACATCTTGAACATGTCCAAGTAAACAGTTCTGTTAAATCAGATATGTATGCCTGCAAAGAGTGGCAAATTTTCTTATGCAACAACTAAAGTTTACAACGTTGATTGACACTTTAGGAGATTGAAGTGATCTAAAACCAAAAAATCACAAGGACCTTGAATCAAAACTCAGCTTCCCACATCAAAACCAAGGTCCATTAGACAGTTGTATGTGGAAATTTCAATTTTTTCAAGAACGAAATGCGAAAGGAAGTTCATAAGCAGTAGGTCTACAAGATTACAGAAACTACCACTGCCCGTAACTTCAATTACTAGCATTACTAGAAAACGCCTCTATTGGTGGATTATCCTATGATTCCTATTAAACTGGACAAAGCAGCAAAAGAATTCTCACTCCCCGGAGCATCTTTAACCCAAAATGCTCAATTCAAGAGAAAGACGTGACAATGAGTAGCACGAAAAATCTAGAACACGAGAGCCACCAGCCATTTAAATACATAAACGTACCGCAGAAGCAAATTTCACCAAGATTTGGGCAAGAGTATGGTTGTAGGAAATAGTATCACCGCTGTGCTTGTGGTTTATTCTGACCTCTGAATTTGAGAAGTTCAAATACAGCATTAGAGGAGCTCGAAATTTCACCACTGTGCTAATTAAAACAACAAGGAACAATGGAAAAAAGTTGAACGTATTACCCCTTCCGACTGAAAAAGCGATCAGGCAAGCAAAAATCGCCACCGTCAACCATCTCTGCCGCTCCATACTGCAGGAAACTAAAAAAGCAGAATAAAAAAATTATATAAAAAAAAAAACACGTAAAGACAATGCAAGCCGATTAAAATGACGCTTGTAAATCATTCTAACACCGAGGAAGGGGAATCCGACTCGTCAAATCGAAGCAATCAATTTCAATTCAGAAAATCGAAATCATATTCCAGGAGCAGACAAATTGATAGAAACCAAAAACATTTATATATATATATATATATATATATATATATATAAGACGATAAAACTGAACGAACTTGGAAAAGAAGAAACCAGCACAGCGATTCGGTAGCTCCGCCGTTGATCGGAAGGTTCAGCTATCGGCGCCGGCACCAGCTTCAATCTAGGAATGAGAAACGCCGCGTTTGGAAGCACCTAAGCGTGTACAATCAGTGCTTGCCGATGAAGGAAATTTTCTTCAACAAACGGAGGCCCGACGGAAAACTACTATGTAAACCCGGTGATTTACGTAAAGTTGGGTTATTGTTCAGARAACCAAAAATGCCCTAATTTTCGCTTTTATTTACGTGATTGCCATCAAGTTTGAGCCAGCGTCAAGGATGCGCTCCCGGATTTAAAAAAAAAAAAAAAAGATAAATTGCAAAATATGCAAATTATAACTGAGTTAGTTTATATTAGCAATAATCCCTCAAATGTGATAATTACGCTCATAAATTTTTAATGATAAAAATTAAACTCTCAAATCAAATTTTAAATGGTTAGAAATTAAATCGTTAATCCTAGTTAAATATTATATTTTGCTTTAGTTCGAATATGAAGAGCAATTTGAATTTATCATCTTTACCCCTAGTTAAATTATTTATTTCCTTTTGTTTTTTTATGGATGTGATCATGTCGTACTATAATTTTTAAAAGTTTGAATGGGGTGATGTGTACTTTATTGGTCCTTAAATTTGCTCAATTTTGTAAGGTTTGTACTCGCGAATTTAAATATTACTTAAATAGTTAAGACATTGATAAAATTTTAAAAAGTTGAAGATTAGAATTCTCATCTTTAGTGTGAACTAAAAAAATATTTAATTTTATTCTATCCAAGTGACTGCTCGTTAAATTTGGTATTGCATCTATATTCTATTAGCGAGGACTAAATTTTAACAATAAGAATCGAATTATTATTATTTTTTTAAGTTCGACGGAATGGTACATCTTTTCAAAAAATAAAAAATTGGTAATCAGCCAAAATTGGAGATTACTAATATTTTAACAGTGAATTTATCTAGCAAAACTTTTTAAAATTGAAATACTGAGAGTAGAAAAATTTAAGACTAAAAACATATTATTTTGACAAAATCTGTGTAAATAAATTGTAATTTATAATTATTTTATTTTTTAAAAGTTGTGATATTACGTACGATAACCCCTTAAAAATAGAAAAGCATTTTGTTTTTTCAACCATAAAAATAGCTTAGAAGAATAAATTTTAATTTTTTTTTCTCTTCCATCTCAATTAATATTCAATTTTATTTTTAGCTATCTATAAAATACTTTTGAGTAATTAAATATTTAACGACATTTTAATCTAAGTTAATCTCTTTCCATAGACACAATAAACTTTAATCGCCTGAAATTTTTTTAAAGTTTTTTCTTTTTAGAAAAATAAAATACTCCTTTATTTCAGAAAATAACCATCACATGCTAACTAGTATATTGAAAATGAAAGATAAGAAATTGAAGATGACGAAGAGGAATATAAATAGAGATTAAATATGAAGTAGGTCATTTTATTACGTGAAATGTCTATTTTATCCCTATTTTCAACATTATTCCATGCATTTCCAAATGATCTCACAGGGGGGAAAACGAAAAAATGTTATTAGAGAATAATATTAAAAATTACTGACAACTTCAGAATCTCTCAAAATTGTAATTTCTTGAAAGAAAAAAAAATCAATAATTCTCCAATTTTACATTTTATAAATATTTTCTTAAACGATTATTACTTTTAATTATTTATTTATAAACTTTAACCCTTCCACCAACCATGAGAAATCTAACAAATTTCAAAACACGAATTCATGTCATGATTTTTTTTTTATTTTAAAAGATTTAGTTGAAAATTTAAAAACATTTACAAATTGAATAACAAAATAATTTTTGGTAGACCAATATGATTTTAAAAAATAAAACCATAATTAAAAGACTATTAGGACTCATTTAATAACATTATTATTTTTTGTTCCGTTTATTCATTTTAATAAATGAAGATGATTTACATAATTCCAACGTCCATAAATTCAAGTACGGCGATACAATGTTTTTATTTACATTTTAGAAAAAAATTGGAAATGGGAACAAGAAAGAAGAAACTTGTTTTTATATTTCCATACTTTCTATACAATTTTGAGAATGTTCCAAAAAAAAAAAGATAATTACGAATCATAGTTATAAAACGCTCAGATTTCTCAATAAAAAAAGATAATTCCTAAATTAATTTTTTTTCTCCTGCATTTTCTTCTGGTAATCATCCATCCAATATAATAATCGAGAGAGAGAGAGAGAGATTGAAGAGCAAACCTTTGTGTATAAGCCGAAAGCATGAGCAAGCGTGACTCAGAGAGAATCCATATATGAGAGAAAAGGGATTTGTAAGAAGAAAGAACTGAAGTAATAGCCATAGCTAACAATGGAAACCCCACACCAAACTCGCTACTTCTTTTCCAAATCGACCCGACCCGACCCAACATGACCCAACCGACACCCCGATTCGACTACCCATTCTTCCTCCTCCTCCTCTACCTCACCATTGTTTACCACACTCATAGAAGAAGAACTAGCAGCAACAACAGTAGTAAAACTTGGATTCAATTGATACTAGAAAAAATTTTATTTTCTGGGTTGGACTTGCAATTGGAAGATAGATTGTAGACTGTAGATTGATAGATACCTCTACTTTTTTTACTCTGAATCTTTCCTTCCTCTTCTTCTTCCTGCAATTTTACCTCTGGTCTACACTAGTACGCACTGGCAGCTTCGTTCGACCAAAAAGCGACGACGAATTTCGACCTTCTTCCCTTTTCATTCCTGTGAACCGTCGAAGCTGCCCTGCGCATTCGCCCGCTTTCTCTCTCTCCAGTTTTCACCCCACACTTTTGCTTCTGCCACTGCACGTTCTCTGTTTAGATCACGGTTCCTCGGTGTTTCCCTTGCTCTCCCGGTATATACAGGACTGTCTCGCAGAGATTCTTGTCGTTCCAACTCATCCAAGCCCCACTTTCGACCAGACCCGCCTCCAGTGTCGAGTTTGCCGAGCTCTGTACCACCACGACTCAATTCCCTATGGAGCTCTTTCTTTCTGTAATCAGGTGAGTTTTTGTAGTTTGATGGGGAGCCACGTCCGCGGCCACGCTCATCGGGGCTATCCAACCCATCTGGAAAACCTCTCCGCTCGTCTCGGGCTCGTGGAGTAGATCCACTCATTCGATTGCTTTGAGAAGCAGCTGCATTAGGATCATATGTTTGGGAAGCTAAATACGTCAGTGCAGTGACAACGTCCCCGATTAGGGGTCTTGTAGCAGCCTGTTCCTGCAAGCACATTGCCGCTACTGCCAATGCCTGATAAAGTCCCCGCATAGGATACCGGCCTTGCAGCAGTGGATCGGCCATCTTAGGGAACTTCCGGCGATCTTTAAAAAGTGGCCGAGCCTGTATACAATTTGCCAGCAAAAGCATGAGTAACTGATAGTTGATAGAAATTGAAATGCACAAAGAATGAAAACAGTAAAGAAAAGAGTCAAAAGCATACTCACCCATGCTACAAGATTATGCTCACCCGGACCTCTGGTATTATCGATCGCCTTACGCCCTGTGATAAGTTCTAGAAAGACAACTCCAAAACCATATACATCTGACTTGAGAGTGAGCTGACCAGTCATAGCATACTCCGGAGCACAATAACCATATGTTCCCATCACTCTCGTCGAGACGTGAGTCTTATCACCGACTGGCCCCAGTTTCGCAAGACCGAAATCTGACAGCTTGGGGTGGTAGCCCTCATCAAGAAGAATATTAGACGACTTCAAGTCTCGATATATGACAGGGGGGTTTGCTTTGTCATGCAAGTATTCCAATCCCTTCGCGGCACCAGCTGCAATCTTCATTCGAGTATTCCAATCCAAAGGCTCCTTATCTGGTGGAAGATCTAAAAACAGGTACAAAATGTAATCAGAAGGATTCTGAAGAATTCAAATTGATGGCTCGCAAGACTAGTAAAGATATAGGAAAATTAAGACACGAAACGATCCTGATAATACTGTTTTGTAATTGAACATCATGAATTGCAGGCTTGTTGTCGATCACCAAGTTCGCATATAAATCGGAAATGGAAGTTAGTCTCACGAGCTAGGTATTTTTGAGTTAAAGACACGGAGTTATTCATGGTACGTCGGTTCTCGCTTATCCTAGACTACATATTCGCTAACTCCAAGGGTTACACAGCCACTTCCCAATCTCTGACTTAAAAAATCGAACCATATTAAAACCGTGAGCCAAACACATCCTATAATCTTATGAGGGGCAATTCCAAGAACTGCTACCATTTCCGCAGTCCAAGCGATCTCACTATCATTCTAATGTGTTGCTTTCTTCTGAGAAGTATTCTATGGTTGGCTAGACAACAAATTCCACACAGCGACTCGATTACGCTCTTCCTAGAAACTGAAATGAAAAATAAACTATAGGTTTAGCTACTTTCTCAAGATTACATAATGGTTTTTCTTGAGCTTCTTCAACCTTTCATATTGTGGGTCTCCTCTCAATAACAGAAGTATAGACAAAACACACAGAGAGGATAATACTTGTTTGTAATTATCCATGACCCATCCAATATTCTAACAGAGCAGAAAATCAATACAAAAAATAGACCATAAGATGAGTGAGACAACAGAAACTAGAACTCTTAAGCTAATTATCAAACAACATTATTATTATTATTATTATTATTGATGAAAAACAAAACTTTCATTAAGAAACATGAAGAAAAGAAAAAACAAGGGTAAAAGGAAGAGAAAAAAAAAAACAGCCCCATAAAAGGAGTCCTTTAAAACTCACTACGCAGAAAAAGACTCCGATCCAAAAGAATAAGGTCTAGCTAATAATTACAAAACCACTTATCCCAAAGGGAAGACTTAAACCTAACAACATCTCAAACCACTTTCCACGACCACTCCACTCCTCTAAAGATTCTACCATTCCTCTCAAGCCAATAACATCAACCAGCATTATTGCAATCTCATTCCGGACGACATGCTTTTTAATGAGAAGAATCTTAATTCATGACCTATCCTAAGAATGTGATATGTGATTGGGATCAAACACAGATAAATTGAATTGTATTCAAAACAAAACAAAAGAGGTACATATCCAAGCACTACGAGAGGTCGACTACTCTCCAGACTATCCCCAAATATGTTCATCCTCGATCCTCCGCTCTCACTCTACTAATAATCTCCAACTCTAACTTACCATATAAAATATCAACACCACAAACCATCTAGATGTGTGTTTTTCTTGTGTGACTTCAGGGGTATGGGGATCAGATAATGCTTTCAGATTTGAAACTTCAAAATTTGTTCCTTGCACAAGATGAGAAGAAAAATAAGTGGTAGATATCGAACCATGTAAATGATCTTCCAACGATCCCAAGGGCATGAATTCATAAACAAGAAGACGTTGATCCCCATCAGCACAATAGCCTATCAAGTTAACAAGATTCGGGTGATGTAACAGGCTAAGCATCAGGACCTCCACCAAAAATTCCCGATTTCCTTGAAGACCATTACGGTCAAGCTGCTTCACAGCCACTACCTGCATATTAAAAGGCAAGTCATTTAGAACTATATACCCATGACACAAATTAGTTTCACAGATCACCAAAAAGAATATTAACAATCGAGAATATATATTTAACATGGTTGTACATCCATCAAGATAAATCATTTCACGACCATGAACTTCAATATGTGAAAAAATATTGTTTAACCTGTCCTGTGCTCTCCAAGCGACCTTTGTAAACCCTTCCAAACCCCCCTTCTCCCAGTAAGCATTCTGGTCTAAAGTTCTTTGTAGCTGTAGCGAGCTCCCGAAATGTAAATGTTTGGGCTGCAATATGTGCTGTTGTTCCATCTTTTTGAACTGTTGGTTCCTTCTTAGTATCGGATACACTTCGCGACTTCGATTTATCTACAAAAAGTAGCAACTTAGACATGGTATCAACCATAATAATATGCAAATACACAAAAAACATGACAATATATAGCAAAATACAGAAATGTAAGAAGGTCAAATGTAAACAAAGCCATAAACTTCAATGGAACAAACTAATGAGACCAAAAAGAACCAGATGGTGAATCACAGCACAAAACTCTACAACATGGTTCACATAAATCTACTGGATTTGATATTTTCATTTCTTACAACAAAAACTACTCAAGAGTGTAAAGCATGTGAACTGTTAAGAACAATGATGAAAGTATTAACTAAGATTATTCAATTCACATATGAAAACACATTTTGCCCTTTATAGGGCTTCAAGCATTTCCATGAAAGACACTTCCTAGTCCATACAATTCCTTCCACAGTGTCTAAAGATTCACAAAACATCACTAATTCAAACCCTAGGGTTGAACACATATCCCAGAACTAACCTCAGTCAAGAACAAAACATGGGGTCCCAAAAACCAAACCCAAAATTCAAAAGAAAAATCACCCACAATAATCAAACGCCATTCGATTCTTCAGATCAAAACAACACAAATTTCTCCCAAAAACCTATCGACGACTAGAAAAACTCAACGAACCAGTAAAATTGACACAGCTCAAGGAAGCCAGAGCCCTGGAAACAGGGAAAAGAAACAAAACCCTACAGAATTAGCTCCAGAAAACAAAGAGTCCGCCATTGATTTTATCACCTGAGCTTACTCTGCTAACATGGTGAGCCTGGGCGGTGGAGCCATCCTTAGCTGAATCCTTCTTCTTCGCAGATTCCTTCACTCCATTACCGTCTTCATCGGAGGATCCACAACAAGGGAAACACCCACCCATATCAACTCAAAACAAGCAAACAAAAAAGAGAGAAAAATCCCACTCCCACGAACCCAATTACAGGGCCAAATTTAAGTATCTAACTTACACGATGCATAATCAGGCAACCCCTAAAATTACTCCTCCTCCTCACCTTCTCAGACAAACCCATCTCCGAATTTCCATCAAATCACACTCTCCAGTCTCCCCTTTCCCTTCCTTTATCGCTTTCTCGCCTCAGAATTTTGGGTGCCCATTAAAGGGAAAGATCGCGACCATCATGTCTGAGAAGCAGATCACCAAATCGAAGAAACTGACATCGTGGAAGAGTAGCAAGGTAAAGAAAAAGGAATGTGAATGTGAAAAAGAAAGAAAGAAATAAAAATCAAACCCAAAAAAAAAAAAAAAAGACTTGATTAAGTAGAAAGTAAGATATTTACATGGGTATTGAATCAAAGACCAAATCTGGGTGCAATTAATTTCCTAATCGCAAATCGATAACGAATTTACTTTTTTTTTTTCATTTTTTTCTTTCTACCCTTTGGAAAAAAAAATATGAGAATTTTACTACGGCCACGGCCAGTGGCAGAGGATTGGTAATAATAATCATCGCGGTCGGAGGGAGTGGGTCCCACACTGAAGCATTGTGATCGACATTCTTAAACACATGTTTTTAAATCCCATTTTATTATCCAATAGTAACGCACCTTCGATTTGTGGATATATTTTCTTTTTATGTCCTTTTTTGTAATTTCCCCTCTTAACCAAAATATATATATATATATATAACTTTAAACCATTTAAAAAAGAAATTCACTTATTCTTCAAAATTTCGACTTTATCGAATTATATCTAATATAATATCAAGGTATTGTCTAGCAAGCCTATAAATTTAAAAAACGTTATGTTATGTTTGATAGGTCATTGAACTATACAAATTTTTAATAAATATTTGAATGGTTGATTTAGTGTATTGTAAGTCCTAAATTTTCAAACTATCATTTTTTCTCAACACTTCTTATTTTCTTCATTCTTACAATTTAACTGCATAGATTTTACTTACGTGTAAATCATCGGAAATAGAAATTTAATATTTAAATCTTATATATATATTTAAATATATTATTTTGGAATTTCGGTGGGAATATATATGAATACTTTTTATTAATGCAATGCAACGTGCTGAATTTGTTTAGAAGAGGTTATGTGGTGGAAGAGTCCTTGCTCAAATGTTTGGTCGGCCATAGTCAAAAGGTAGGTAGGTAAGGCTTTGGGAAGGTAATTTACTTTTTCTTTTCTCCTTCCAATAAGGTAAATGACTTTAACAGAAAAAAAAAAAAAAATCCAACTGTTTACCAAATACCAAATTAAAAATTGTTATATATATATATATATATTTTACATTTATATATATATATATTTGTTAAAATGCTGTTTTAGTATCTTGTTTTGAACCTCTATTAATTTTTGTTTTTGTTGTTTCGACTTTTTTTTTTATGCCTTAAGTATCTCTATATTTTCAAAATGTTTATTACGAACCGTTTAAAAGTTATTATTTTTTTCTCTTTATTTTAGTTTATTTTTTATCTCATTTTTTAAAAGTACAATAATTAAAATAAATGAAAATCGAAAGTACGTTGATCAAAATAGAGATTTTAAAAATAGAGGGATAAAAATTAACTAAATTATAAAAATAGTATTTTAACTTGTCTTTTACCAAAAAGAAAATATAAATGTAGCAATTTAACAATAATAATGATAAATATGAAACAAAAAAGAAGAAGAAGAATAAGAAGAAGGAAAAAAAATGGAAAAACTAGGAATATACATTTATATGATGATTATCTCGATTAGATAGACTTAAGGCGTAAAAGGATAAACCAATAATTTCTAAAAAGTTTCCAAAATGGATTATTACTATTGTCTAGCCAATTAGCAGTTTATTTATTTATTTTCAATTATATATTATTAAAAATATATTTGTAATTATCGTATAGAACACGTGGCTGTAGATAATTGTAAAAAATAAGATTAATTTATCATATTAATATATTCAATGTTAATCAAGATAGGAAAACTTTGTTTTTCGCCCTATTAGTCATTGTCTTATAGAGTTACATTGGAGAAAAAAACTAAAGGACAAAAATCTACGAACATATTAAAAGAAAAAATTTCTTAGAACGTAAACTTTGTGAAAATATATTTGAATAAATTTTAAAATCGGTTAAATTCACATTATTAGTTAAACATTGTAAACCTGAACACAGTTTAAAGCCTTAACCGTTTAAGACATCTTTACATCTTAAATTTAAATTTCAAGTAAAACAGACGTCATCTATGCGTCTTAATGACTGGCTTGAGATTTTAAGAAATATTCTCGAGGTATTGGGTTTAAGCTACACAGGTATGAGAATAGTGTCTATACTTTCAGGCATAGGGACAAAAGGGCCAAAGGGTCGCTGACTCCTGGATAATCAAAAATTAAGAATCGAGAACTCTACCAAACAACTCCAACTCATCACAACACGACTCGTACTCCTTTTTTGTCTCTAGATCTTTTTTGTAATTAATTCCTACTTTCCAAACAACATTTCTCTCTCTCTCTCAACCCCAAGCCTTTGATTTTGATGCACCAAAATTATCTTTGAACTACAAAATTTTCCCTCTCCATCTCTGATAATAAATTGTCCACAAAGATACTCTCATCTCTATACCACATATATAATGATTTTGACCTATTAAGTTACTAAAATACCCCCTTTGTCAGGTTTCAAAAAAAAAAAACAAAAACAAAAACAAAAACAAAACAAAAAACCATTTTTGTTGCTTCCAAATCTCCAATGGCTGCTTTTAGATGGGTAGCTTCAAAGTAGTAAAACCTACACAATCCTCCAAAAACCCATTTAAACCCCTCAAATCCCACCATTAATTTCAAATTAAATTAACTTTTCTTTTTTAAAAATTTCTTCCAATTTTGGAAACATAAATTCTTTTAATAGATCTTTCCTTTTTCTTTCTAGAAGATCAGTTGGGTCTCTTTTGAGGGACTTTGTCTATATCCTTTGAATCCATTTTAGGCCTATTTATAGCTAGCTAGTAATTTTGCCACCATCTATATAGAAGAAAAGGAATATATTAATAAAGTGGGAATCAATTCCATCTTATAATTAGCCATGTTGAGAATTTTCATCTGTTTAGGAAAATAAGTTGTTGGAGTTTTCACTCATTTTCTAATGTAGATTTTTTTTTTTAATAATTTTGTTGGGTATGTGAATATGGTAGCACGTCGACTAAAAGTGAGGAAAATCGACAACATCCTTACTTGTACTTAAGTCTTTAGGACGAAACTGAAAGTAAACTCAATATGATAAAAAGTGAAATAATTACATTTTTCTTAATTTTTTTTCGTAAACTCAAAATTTTTTCTTCCTAAAATAATTCTGTCCCAGGGGAAGATTTATGATAGCGGTTTAAACAATAAGATAGGAAAGTTTGAAAGAAAAGGAAAGAATTTAATGGAATAGTAATATTCCAATAATTCATCTCTATTATATGTGTCAAGAAGAAATATACAAGTCAATTTAAACCTGACTTAGTAGATAAGAGTTTCCTTGAGGTTGAAAGTTCGATTTTACCCCACAAACATGAATTTTTTTTTTTTTTTGTAATTTTTAAAAGTAAGCTAAACATATAATTTATTTCGTGCACAAATTGTGGGTTAGGTTATATATTTTTTTATTTGTTTATTTTAAGATTAGTTTGGTTCAAATAAAGTGAGTCCTAATGATTGGGTCAGTCAATGAATTCTTCATAACTTTGTTTAAATTCTAACTCAATTAATTCAAACTTATGATTAATTAAAAAAATAAAATTTTTCACTCGAGATAAAATTTTGGTGATTTACTGTATTTAAGGAGGTTTACTAATTCAATTCGATTTTTAACTTCTTTCAAAAAAAAATCGATTTTTAAACCAAAAAAACAACTAAATATGATGGTCAGTATGCCATATGTGCGAATTAAAGCAAACTAACTAACTATTATTGAAAATAAATATTTGTTGGAGGGTTTTTCTTGAATTTGGGCTTATTGGGCCTCATTTTACAACATCTAAGCCCAACTTTCATCCAAAAATTCAACAAACTGATCTAAAATTTCCCCATCATAAAAACAGTCACTATTAAATATTAATATTGTATATTCTAATAATATCTAAAAAAATATTATATTTTTTCAAACAATTAAAAAAAATTATATTTTTATGGTACGTTCTGAAAGTATTCACAAGAATATAGTAGTTCTGGTGATGTGATAATTTAGTAAGTTAATCGCTATTTTTTTTAGAATAGTGAATCGTTACTTTAAAACATGATATATATATATATATATATATATATATTTTTATTTATATTACTACTACAGTTTTACAAATAGATTTCAAACTATAATAATTTTGTAATTATCTTCTAAAACTATAATATTTTCATTTCTTTCGTCATTATCTCAACAACATTCAAAATTCACCTAATCGCCTTAATTAAACTAGATTTTTTTTTTTTTTTGCAAAAGTAAATATATTAAACAAAAAAAATGGAGGATATTACAGTCCGAGATCAATGCACAAAATCCAAAGGGCAAACACAAAACAATAAGAAAGAAAAGTAAATCAAGAAAACACTACTCTCAGGTTAGGTAGTATAACGATAATAGACATCAGTTTTCAAGACGCACATGAGGACAAAAGGCGATCGACCTATCCCACTCACATGAACTCTAGCATAGCTCAGCAGTTCGCATGAACAAAACTCATAAAAACCGGCCTGCATGACCAAGATTTTTATTGTCAAAGCGAGAACCTAGTTCAGTGGTAATTGAATTTTTTTTTTATTAATTTAAAAAATAAATGTTCTCCATTCCATTGGATGTGAATTATATAACACATAAATCAAAGAGAACAAAAGAGAAAAAACATTCAATCCTTTTTAACTTTTAGAATAAAAATTAAACTAAACTCAATCGATTCGGTTGAATATAATTTGGTTTTCGTTTTTTAAGATTTCATGCGCACCCCTTGTTCTTATTTTTTAGGGTAAATATAATACTTTAGGAGTGTAGTGTCTCTCTAAACAAAGCAACAAGGAAGGTTATGGATTTCTCGGGATACTTTCTTTTGATCATCTAGCTAAAATTATTTAAGGTCAATTTGAATATAACTTAAATGAATAAATATTAATTCTTCCTTAAGTTCAAATTCTCCCTCCTTATTTTCAAATATATTCTTTTCTAAAGTGATTTAAAATTACGGCTGATATAAGATATAGAATACTGTTTTACTGGCGTATATAATACCAATCAAATTTTAATTATGATTAGATGCACAATTTCATTGAACGCATATTGTTTCTTTAATTTTACATTTCAACAAAAAAACATTAATTGAGTTGGGTCTAAAATGAAGAATTTTTATGATTATTCCAAAATAGATAAACCCTACAAAAGAATTAGAAACCTATCTATAGATATGAAGAAATAACAAGGTGATTAGTGGGATAATGGAATTTTCATGTATAGGAACTTATCCCATATTCTTAATCAAAGAATATATTCATTTTATTTTTCTCATCCAATAATTATGTATTGATTAGACATTGGAATATAAACCAAATATTTTTCAATGCCTAATGTTGCCTAATTCCCACAAAATTTCTCCAATAAACGAACGTGCTCGTGACGCTCACGTGGACCCTCACAATCTTTATTTCTTTCCAATTTATTTCCCATTTGTAAAAACCAAAAAAAAACAATATATATATATATATATATATATATATATATATATTTTGGGTTGGAGGATTGAATTCAAAGCCTCTCGATTATATATATATATATATATATATATATATATATATATATATATATATTTATTATTTTTCATATTGTTTTTTTATGAATACACTAATTGTGGAGCGAAAGATCCAATCATTATCTTTGAAATGGTACTAACAAGTGATTCATCTACTTAAATATTTGACATTAAACTTCGAAGTTTAAATCATATATATGAAGTTATGATTAATTTAATATTCCACATATCATAAAGTCAACTTGAACCTAACTCAAATAGATAGTTTGATTATTATCCGAGTATTGTTAAAAAAAAATTATATATATATATATATATAAGGAAATCAACCAGAAGATGAAATAGTTTATAGAAACTGATAATAATATAAAACATAAAAAAAAAGAGTTAAAAGCACACCGAAAAGGTAGGACATTACAGTAATAAAACATTGAAAAATGTGGCGATTACAATCACATTAAATTAATAGGGTGCATTATTTATTACTTTGTAATTTATTTGTTAATGAATAGGGCGAACTTAAGCCTAATTCAACACGCTAAAATATATATTGTGGATTAAAAAATCGTGTGTTTCAACCCAACTCTACACATTATTAATCTAAGTTTATAAGTTTAGTTGCCGTATTAAATATATTGAGATAAAAATTAATGGTAATGAATTGAATAAATTAAATTTGTAATTGCACGACATTTTTCTGTCTATACATGTACTTAGTATATGACCATTGACATTCAAAATAAAACCAACTATTTGACAAGTTCACAATAATGATGCACACGATAGTTGATCAAGTACGTTTGTCGATCGAACAAAAACTCATTTAGTAAAGAGACATGCTTCTACCCGTATACATAATCCTGAAGCTAAAACTAGTGATTCTGATCCCCAATTGGTCATGAGCCACAAAGAAATCACTCACATCATTCTCAACTTGAATAAGAAACTCTATTAAGTCCTACTTATCTTCATCCAAGAGATTCCATCTCAACTCTCGATCATATTTCAAGTTCTTTACCGATCTTCTTTGAGACTTTCATTTCCAAAGTCTCAAAAAATATTTCACTTCCGTGTCAATTGAACCATCCTCTCAAACACATCAAAGAATTGAAATTATAGATTTGTTTCGTATTTCAAAACCATCCGAATTATATATAGTAACTTTTTCATATCAACAAAATCCAACATAGAATTATAATTTATTTCCCCATTAATTACTTGCACACACAAGCAAAAACAAAAATAAAAAGAAGTTGCAATCAAAAGTTCTTATAAAGTATATATATATTGGCCTAATCAAAAAGTTTAATATTATATATCCTTGAAATTAATGATAAACTCTACACATTTAACCTCTCGAAAGCTGCAAGAGAGGGAGAAAAAAGAAAAATAAAAGCTGAAAATTAAAACTTATATAGAACACAGTTAAAATTCAAAGCCAAAGAGCTCCGGCTTCCTTGAGGAGTTTCTTGAGGGAGCCATTGAGCTGAAGGGTAAGAACGGCGTTGGCAGAGCCAACAAAGCGGCCACCGATGAAGACAGCGGGAACGGCGGGGTTGCAACCGAGGCGAATGAGGGCCCACTCAATCTCCTTGCCTCTCGAGTCCTCGTCAAGCTCGTACACAGCAGGGCTCACGCCTTGTTCGTAAAATAGTCTCTTGATTGCATGGCTCATGCAACACGTGCTCTTGCTAAAGATCACTACCGCCCTTTGGGATGCCACCTTTGCTATACGCTCCATTCAGAATTTTCTTTTTGACCTCCGCCTGAGAAAAGATTAAAATATTTTCTCGAAAAATTTAAAGAGGAAGAAGAAGGAAGAAAGTTTTTGTTTTGTTTTTGGAGTGGCTATGGAGTTGGGAGGGACTTGGTGAGATGTTTTATATATATAGCATACAGATCGGACGGTATCATTTCTTTTCCCTTTTTTTTTGCGCCTTTTTTTTCAAAAAAAATAAGCTTTATTAATCATATTTAAAAGATTGGTATATTTTTATTTTCTTCTTGAAAAGAAAAAGACTAAATATATCATTTGTGACTTGACAGTTTCACAGATACAATAGAATATAGATGTTATTTTTCTTTTAATTAGGTAGAATCATGAGAAGTTTATCTTTTATTTACTTATTATTTTTTAAAGAATAACTCATATGATGATATTTTAATTTTTCTTTTGGGTACGAAAAAAGAAAAAAGTACAGATGTCATTTACGATTGAGTTATTAGAAAAAATAGTTGTTTTTTTATTTATTTTACCAATAAATTGTGGTCTAAAATCCTCTATCTCGATGTAAATTCTTAAATTTTATCAAATGAATGGAAAATAAAGTATATTAGATAGACCAAATAATATATAATATTTAACTTAAAGAAAAAGAGTGAAACTAAAGAAAATATAAAACTAGGGGAGGAAGAATATTAGATAGGTGAATTATGACAGCTTTATACTTAAAAAGTGCATCTTCCTGCTAATTATTAATAACGATTCGATTATTTCTATATTTCTTGAGTAAAAAATTTACCCGTAGCATACAAAAGATAAGCTGGTAAGTACTTCAATATTATTCTCTTTACAGCTTTACGATTTGACAGTGACATATGTGGTTTGGACATTGGGTACAAATTAAAACTGTGTAAGAATAGTCGAGAGGGACGAATCTCAATTTAGTTTAGATTATAAAGATAAGCCGAAAGAGCTGAAAGAAAGAGAAATTGGCATCCAACACTCAGGAAAAGCAAAGAAAGAAGATGATGATGATGAAGAATGTCAACTAAAGGGTAAGAGAGAGAGGTTATAATATTCGAAATTATATATATATAAAAGGATATATATATATATATATATGTAGAGAGAAAGATTATGATATTTATGATGAGCTATTTTTATTCGATACTAATTTTGAGGGACAGAACAGGGAAAAGAGAGAGAAGAAGAAGAAAAGTAGAAGATGATGAATGAACATAGTGGGCAGCAGTGATTCCATAAGGGGAATCGCCAAAGTGCATGCATATATGACTCTAAATGATGAGGGGGTAGTGATAATATTGTTGTTGTTTTCTGTCGGTTTTTAGTTTTTGAGAAACATGAGCGCTTTGGGTAATTTTGTTTGATGTTTTTGAGTAGAAAATTAATTAACATGTTCGGATCATCTAAGCTTGCAAAATAGAAATGAGCACTCCGGCACTTAAATTAATTCAAGTCTGAAACTATTTTAACTTTCAAGCATATTCATAGATTCATGCGCGTAACTGAGGATGAATTTACCTTCGTTATTTATAGACAATAGACGGATTAGCAACATGATCGACCACAATGCTTTCTCTGAAAAATTAGGCGCACTACATGATGTAGTGGTGAGTGGGAAAAGTTAAGCAGTTTGCCGAGTCGACCTCCGATCTCATGACCTCTGTTTGGTTGGTATAGAAGAATGGTCAACTGGTCGGCTTTGAACTTTCAAAATAAACACGACAGTAGTTTACCATTTTTCACCGTTTCTCAATTTTAAGAAACGTTTTCAAAATTGAATAAAAAAATCAAATTTGTTTTTTGTTGTTCCATGTTTCTAGTTTTTCTAATAAAAGAACTATTTTATTATTTTTTACTTATAAATGCACAATAAATATAAAGATTAAATATAGCAGGCAAATTTTGAATATTTAATTTAAAAAAATAATATTTATATAAAACTTTACTTTTCTTAATTTAAAATTTTAGAGAATAAAAACAAGAAATGCATGATTATGTTGTTTTTTTTCCACAGAAAAGAAATAACAAGAAATAAGTTAACCGATATATATATAACAAAAAATAAAAAACGTGAACCTTAAAATTTAACAGCTATTTAAAAAAAACATAAAAAAAATATCTCTCCTTTATTTATTTCTTTCTCCTACTTATTAAAAGTTCAAGAGTAGATCAGCACTCGTCAACTAATTATTATTCCTAAATAATATATAAATACGTACTTATTTAGTTCATAAAACTTTGAAAATTTCTGTACCTGTTTATCTCGATTTATATATTTTCAACATTTTAGTCTGTTATACGTATTTTTTTTAAAATACGGTAAATTACACAAATCGCCCTTAAGTATGGTCACTGTTATATTGCACCCCTAAACTTTCAATTGCAAAAATTAAACCCTCCCAAATTTTTATAAGTAAAAAAATTGGACCCCTTAAACACTTTATAGTAAAAAATTAAAAATTCAAATTTTCATAAGTGAAAAAATTGCATTGTCAGTTTGGTAACATTTCTATTTCTTGTTTTTCGATTACAATTTTATTAAGAAATGTAAACAAACTTTCTAAATTTTTTAGAAACATTTTCAAAATTGTATAAAATTTTTGGAAAAAACAAAAACAAGTCTCTTGTTTCTTGTCTCCGCCTCTTCTTTCTTGTCCCCATTTTTAATTAGTTGTAACATAAATATAAAAATGTCAAGGGCCATGTAATTATATTTTTATTTATTAAAAAGAAAAAACAAGAAACAAAAATTTGATAACCCATCTCGTTTCCAAAAAAAAGAGATCAAATTGTGGAAACTACAAAAAGTAGTTTAATTTATTCAAAATAGATGTTTGGTCCACGAGGGCTCTATGTTTTCCTCGATTTTTTTTTTTACCTTTGAAAATTTATAAGTGCAATTTTCTCATCACTTATGAAAGTTGGAAAGTTTTATTTTTACTATTGAATGTTTATAGTTCCAATTTTTTCACTTATATAAGTTTGAGGAATTTCCAACCTCTTGGTTGGAGATATATGTCAATTACCACTGAGCTTGCTCACTTTACGTGTTTTTTATTTTAAAATATCAATTTGATCCTTATATCTTTAAAAAAGTGATTGTTTTGGTCATTGTTTGCAAAGTATTATGATTAAGTGTAGTGTTATGTTTTTTTCACTACAAGTGGAAATGGAAAATTCGAACTCACAATCTCATGTTTAATTGGCTGGAGATAAGTGTCAATACAGCTAAACTCATGTTGGCGAGTGCAGTGTTATGTTGAAAGAAAATTTAGATAAATTAAAAATGAAAACAAAGAGACTATAACCACACGTGGGTTCAATCCTCGTTGTTCGCCCATCATAGATTTTTTTTTGGGAGAAAAACCAAAATGGAATTTTTGAAAATATAAAAGTTGGAAGAAAAATGACCTAAATATGGTTTAAACGAAAATTTTAATGTCATGTCATTCAACTTTGAATTTGTGATACTATAATACATAGCCTTCATGATTAATATTATTCAATAAATAATTAGTAACATGATGCAATTATTAAATATAAATGTTAACTAATTTGATACGATATGTGACATGCAATAGAAAAAAGCTGATCTTAAAAATAACACGTGGAACATATTGTTCTTTTGAAGCATCGTATCAAGTTCATTTTGTAGATGACGTGTCAATCTATTAGAAACAAGTTAATTAAATCTCTAAATTTTGAATTGTAATTTTTATATAGTATCTATTATCAACATTATTAACTAAATAAATGATGATATTTCACCTCTCTTAAATATTAAATGAATTGATTGATTGATAATTTGGAATAACGAGGGTGATTGGAAAAAAAATAATAATAAAGTAGCACAGACGTTTAAACATCTCCTCGTATCAAAATTTTTTAACACATGATGTGGATCTATTTTGGATCATATAATTATATTCTTGATATGCCTTCACTATTACCACCATTAACTAACACAATGACATGATATATCTATCAAATAAATGTTGATCCATTTATACGCATAATATACACCGAGCCACCTACCCCACAAGATGCATCCTACAAATGTCAAATGGTGGCAAGAGCCACGTGGATGACCATGACTGGATGAGGATGGGTTATAGGCCATTGCAATGAATAATTAAGCTGAAAAAGAAGGAAAAAGGATCTTTCTAGGGGGGATAATTAATAATTATCAACAAAATAAACAAATAATTAATATGGCAGAAAGTGAACATAAAGTTAAACACGTGAAAATAGCGATGGATCGTAGGAGAAAAATATGGGAAAACAAAATTTCGTTCTCGCATTTTAATAGAACTATATACTGATACTGTGTATTAATTTAAATTGCTTTTTTTAATTAATTAAAATATTCGCTGCGCATGTCAAAGAGTTTTTAAGCAGAACGCCATCTCCCAGATTTGGGTTCGATACTTTTTTTTTCTTCCTTTTATTTATTATTATTATTTGAATAAATTCTTTTCTCCATTTTATCTTTTAAGACATACCTTCTAGAGCATAATATATATCACTAATTATTCCTCATCCACAAATGGCTTTTTTTTTTATTTTTTTATTTTTAAGTTGTCAAACTATAAAACTTTGAATTATAATTTTATAGGATCATCATTAACTATATATAGTACTATAGGTTTATGGCAACATGAGCATATATCAACGTTAAATTGTGGTATATATTTTTTCCTTTGAAGTCGGAGGTTTAAACTTCCATACCCAAAATTTGTTGTATTGAAAAGAAAAAAACTATATATGATACTACGATATGCTTACGGGACAAAGGTCGATTAATTTATTATATGATTTAATAGACAAATATGCTAGAAGAATGAGATATAAAACTAAAGCATGACATGTGTGGCATATTTTATTTTATTCTTTTATAAACGACGTATCGAATTTCTTTTATAGATCGTGTCACTCTATTTTGCATTTGTTTGTTACTCTATTTTGTATTTGTTTGTCACATTGTGCCAATTAAAGTAGTAGACGATTTATGTAATATACAACCACGTCAATTTTATGAAAGATCTACTCTCACTTGAAATTATTTTTTTCAA